TTTAGTTAAAGCAGCCTGGACTGACTAAGACACATCTAACACTTGATATGCTTATTGGTTTCCATCTATTTCCTTTTACTGTACTAGGAAGGTGACCTAGTTGAAAAAGGAGATTGTATCTTATTCTTGAACTCCAGTGCCTAGTACCTTCCCTGAGACAGGGAAAGATGGATGAATGGGTGGAAGGAAGGAAAGAAGGCAGGCAGTCAGGAAAAAAAGGGCTTTTAGACTACTTTCTTCAATGATTTTTATTTGCTTTTGCTGCTTTCTACCATTCTGGAGGTCTGTCTTTCTCCATTTCTAGTACCCCAATGGCTTTGTGCTCAGGAGATATAAGATAATACCAACAGGCCTGATTTTTCTAAACTTCAGATAGAGACCAAGAGTGAGGACATTGCATTGGAAAGCTCTTCATGGGTGGGGCAGGGGTAGGAGAATTCACTCAAAGAGTTTTTTCCCTTTATTGGGTTTGTTTTCAATTGAAATGAAGAACAGGGCTGGAGATTAGCAGAGTTAAAGTTTAACTAGGAAGGTAATTCTGCTAAAAAAATGTAATAAACAGTTAAAAACTAAGTAGTACATTTCTACACGCATGAAATGAATTTTGATCCTCTCTTTGGATTTATCTCTGTGACCTCTGCTGTGTGGGTACCTGAGAGATTAATATAAATAATGCTTTTCAGGGGCAAAAAGGTTACTCCTAGAGTTTCTTGTGTGACATCCTTTGTTATTTTTATTTCAAACTAGTTGTTCTGAAATGTCCTAAGAGTATTAAAAGTTGTAAAAGTAAAAGTATTTAACACTTACATAACTTTTTATAGTCAACAAAATGCTTTACAGGTTTCCTCTCATTTACTCCTTACAACAAACCCATAGGCTAGGCCCTTATAATCCCTGCTTTACCAATGAGGTTTGAGCCTCAGAAAGATTAGATAATTTGCATAAAACATGTCAGAGGCAGGGGCAGACTTAAAAATAAGATCTTGCAGCTCTAAGTCCTAGGCTTCTTGCAAGAGATTTAGTAAACAGATTTTCCTCACATGTGAATTACTGTTTTGCATTCATAACATAAACCAATGGAGGTTGAAAGAAATGGTGAAAAGTTTAGTGATGCTAAACATCTATAAGTGAAATGTATTAAAAATAACAAGAACAGGAAATCCGTAGTTCTACAGGTTTTTCAATCTGTTGAACATCAAATCAGATTTCCCAGTGAATCATCTGCTTCCAAATTTCAAGCTCCTATCCATTTAATAAGCCCTTCATCAGTGAACTGGAAGGTACATGCATTGGAATTAACCAAACACACACACAAGTATGTGGATAAGTGTGTATGGTTTTGTTTTAAGACACTCTACCTTCTCCTTAAGATGAACTTTGATGGAAAAAAATTCAATCAAATTAATGTTGTTTTCCATGAGTAGACCAGAGGGTTAATGCCTTGTCCAGTATCACTCAAGATTCAAGGAAATCCAAATAAAGGCTCTGATGTTTTTCTCCATCCCTAACTTATCTCTTTAGCACGTTCTTGTCTTCCCTCCTGGCCAGGCAGGGGTTTAGCCATAGCGAGCAGGAGGAGACGGTGTCTTGTTTCTGACATGGGGAGCTTTTAGTTTCATTAGAACATCCAAGAAGGTTGGGATCAGAAAGTCAGGGCTATAAATTCAAATCTGTAAGACTCCTGCCTGCAGATGCTGGCTGGAACTGTGTGAATAACACCCCTCTTCCTAATGGATGAATAGTCAGTTTGGGTTCATACAAAGGGAAAAGTGCGAGGAGTCTGGGGCTGAGCTGTGGATAATGCCCACGATGTTAACTCCTCTTTAAAGCTGTCCAGAGTGAGTTGGGAACAGTCCAAATGTGCACAAAGAAGAAAAGGACAACAGTGACAGGAGCCATATCAATATTGTATTATTACAATCACCAGATGATAACGTTAGATTCAAATCAGGGGGTCTTGGCTTCAGGGAAGGGTCCATAAATCCCCATCCTGGGTTGAAGTAGTAGCGGCACCTCCAGTGACATAAAGAATCCATGGATTGTCTTTTATAGAAATGCATTGCCTTACATACTTGCCTAGAATGACAGTCATGTGCATCTTTTCTGCCCAACCACCCAATTTTGTGAAATCTTCCAGATGTTTCTACCCGTTAGGTTGTCATGTTACTACAAGAGAAGCTCTAAATACAGACGTAAACTTAAGGGTTTCATTGTGCACTTCTTCTTCCAGATTATTTGTGAAAATATGATCAGTGGAAGAGCCCACTATTATACCATTTCCCAGAACGATTCTTAATTATTCCCATCGTGTTTGCTAAAAAGCCAATTTTTATCCATAAGCAACAATTTCCCGTGATTCTGTGATAATTCACAGACCTTTAACCAAACACACAGATATTTGTTGTCTTCAGTGTACAAGTCATATGGACTCTTAGCAAAACTTTTTGAAAAATATAAATAAATCACACCTGCAGATTCTCTTGTACTCACATACTAATTTCTCTTTCAAAAACAAGAAAATTTAAATAGATTTAAACAACTTTACATGGAGACCCTGCTTTTCTGCATCTTGTGCTGAATGGAGGGGCCAAATTTTACCAAAAAGTCAGCCATCTAGCAATCTTTTTTCTTCATGGAGAATATTTTAGAAGGAACAAAATGCCGCCATCATGTCATTGTGCACAAAAGGATGGGAAGCAGTCATACAAGAAGAGCCCTACTTGTAAGTGAAGAAGGGAAAATTGAAGAAGGCAAAAAAATATATAGCCAAAGTGCCATTCTAGAATGTACATTTATCTAGTCTCTTATATTCCACTAGAATGTGAGTTCTATGAAGGTAGGGTTTGCTTTTATTCATTGCCGTGTTCTCATTGCCGAGATATAAACTCATATATCTGGAAAAGTGCTTGGTACATATTAGGTGCTTAATAAATAATACTTATAATAATACTTATAGAGTATATACTATAAGTAATATTTATGCTGTAATAATACTTATATATTGTATACTATAATAATACCTTATTATTTAAGTGAATATATAACTTACACAGAAATGAAATAGATATCCTAGCTTGGTATTATACAGTGCTTATTGGAGGCATGGGCTGGTTTATTTTTATTGTATATTGTTAAATTAATATTTTGGTATGATTATTGGTATGAGCTCTTTAAGCAACAAATTAGTTGCTGGTCCCCATGTGACCTTTGTGCATTGAGAAGAGGATGGGACTCTGAAGGTGGGATAATGGGATTTTTAGGAAGACAGCTAAGCTGGGGGTGTGAACAAGTAGGTGTCAAAAATAACACACGTGCACACATACACACCATAGATAGCCTAAGGCTTGACCCTAAATCCTACTAGTTTGTTGCTATTTCAACCTCAGTTTTTGGCCTGCCGTTTTGATCATGAATTCTAGGTTCTGAATCCATGAACTGCCATGGCGAACCTTTGGTGTCTTCAGCTGCTGCACTTACCTCTACTAGTCAAACGTATTAGCTCATTTGTAGCTTTTCCTATAGCTCTTAAGAAAGATTATTCTATTTACATTTGAATTTATATTTACATTTACAAATTAAATGTGACAAAGCACTTTGATTGATTGACTTGGACTCCAGTATTGATTGCAGGGCCTTGGATCACGAGATATAAACTCATATATTCTTCATGCAACAGATATTTGTGGAAGGACATCCATCTGTCTGATGCTACGCCAGGTACTATGGCTGTAAAGCTCTGCCCTCTGAAAGGCTCACAGAGAAGGAGAGGGAGCCGCATAACAGCAATGCACTGCAATAACACCTCTAAGAGAGGGACCTGGAAGGCCCAGTGGAGCCCAAAGGAGTCAGTGACTGTCCCAGTTGTGAGGTGCCATCAGCAAAGAGAAGATGCTTGAACTAAGTCTTGAAGGTTGAATGGGAGTCCAGTGAGAAGTGTGTGCATGGCAGGGTGGAGTGGAGGGAGCATTGTATGTGGCATCCCTGACAAACAGTAGTTTGGAATATTCAGGCTTTCCTCACCACACTTTTGGAATTAGAAATGTTGCTGACGGATTATAAAGGAACCTTGGAAATATCTGGGCACACACTAAACCCTTGCTACTCAAAGTGTGGTCTGGTGACCAGCACCTCCCATGAGCAGGTTAGAAATGCAAAATCTCAGGCTCACCACAGACCTACTGAACCAGAACCTGCATTTTAACAACATCCCCAGGTGATTTGCTTGTGTGTTAAAGGTTGAAATAATTCTGTTTGGAAGACTGAATCTTCTATTGGAGGAGTTTTGGGGCACTTGTTAAAACTGAAACTGACTCTTAAATAATGTAGTAAACACGTGTGAAGTTCATTCTGACAACAGCAGGTAGATCTGTAAGGGATCTTTATTAAGCCTGTGGCTGTTTAACACTGGGGACTAACTCACCCAGTTAGAAATTGACCACCACCTACACTTGAGCTGCTACAACAGTGGAAAACGCGCTGGGCTAACTTCAAGTCCCAGGCGTCCCCTTGATTAGGTGTATGACCTTAGGCGAACTCTGTAGACCTCCGGAGGAGCAGCTACTTTGTCATTTACAGGCACCTCCTGTGTGCCAAGCAGTATGCCAGGCACTCACACACATTATCCCATTTCCTTGTCTGCCAAGTGAGGGCCAACAATACCTGCCACACAGGGTGTCTCATTAGGAGCCAAAGAAATAACGTGTATCACAGTGCTTTGCAAGGGATAAATGGCATAGGCCATGATTTAAATATCTGCATAGAAAAATACATATTTATAGAGCATCTGCTCTGACCCAAGACCTGTGATAAATTTACCTAAATTTAAAGATATTTGTTCTAATTAAAATAGGCAAAGGAAAAGGGCTACATTTCATACTTAAGGTGAGTGGCGTCAAGATGAAATTAAAACAAGCACTTAGCAGCACACAAGTCACCAAGAACATGTGACACTGGCCTTGTTCCCAGTCCACCCCAGTAATCTCTGCTTCCCACTTTCCCAGGCATGCGCCAAGGCAATGACTACGGCTCTCAGTACCGCTCAGCCATCTACCCAACCTCTGCGGACCACATGGAGGCGGCCCTGAGGTCCAAAGAGGACTACCAGAAGGTAGGTCTCCTCCCGCTCCTGGGTCCCCACTGTCGGCCCCTGCCGCGTCGGGCCCTACCTGTAAAGAGAGAGTCTGGTTCTTTTCACCTGGCACTGTGTTCCATTTGCACATTTTTTTGAAATTTCTGTTAGCCTCTTGGAATAGAGCCACTCTGCTCCATAAATGTGCAAACCGAGATTTTAAAAGTAGGTCTTACATATTTCTGTTTAAAATCAACTCAACCAGAAGAATATGTAACTTAACATATAGTCTTTCTTTGTCTCTCTTTGTCTCTCTCTGAACCCCTCTCTTTTTCTTTCTTCTCTCTGTGTGAGTCTGCCCTGGTTGCCATAACAAAGTACCACAGACTGGGTGGCTTAACCAACAGAAATTTATTGTCTCACATTCTGGAGGCTGGAAGGCCAAGATCAAGGTGTCTGCAGGGTTGGTTCCTTCAGAGGCTGTGAGGAACCTGTCTGCTCCAGGCCTGTCTCCTTGGCTTGTCGATGGCCATCTTCTCCCTGTGTCTCTTCACGCCACCTTCCCTCTATGGATGTCTAGTTCTGTGTCCAAATTTCCCCTTTTATGACAACTGTAGTCATAGTGGATTGGTGCCCAACCTAATGACACATTTTAACCTAATTACCTCTGTAAAGACCCTATCTCCAAATGAGTTCACATCTGAGGTACTGGGGCCTGGGACTCCAACTTCTCTTTTTTGAGGCACACAATTCAACCCATGATGCTTTCTGTCTTGCTAGTAACGGTAGATTGAATTACAATAAAAATACTTCTTAGAAATATAGACATTATATCATGAAAGAATTATTTTCACTGTTAACTTGTATTATATTTTAAAAATAGCCTCCAATAGAGATTTAGTTCTTTTCAAAATGAATTGCTTTAATTTTTAGAACTTCATGATAATGTCTAAATTTTACTTATCATTATATTTTCTGATTTGAATTCACATTTAACAATAGAGCCAGTAGCTACTGGCTCATCTATTCTAGAATTATGGAAAAAGTCTGATATGCAGCAGTTCCCAGGGATGCATGGGTTCTCCACCTATCCCCCAAGGTGGCAGAGGTGGCAGTGAGGAGGAGGCAGGGACAAGAGTGTGTCTACTGATGAAAAAGTAGCAGGACATGCAACTCATGGTCAGCTCAACCCTGAAAAGCAGAGAGGGCTAAAGGAGATGCTGACAGGAGCTGCCCCATTGATTCCTCAGCATGCCCCCTCCCACCCTCCCCGGCTCTGATGTCTGCTTGGGCCATAATAATAGGAGGCCTCCAGGATGGCCCTGAGTGATCTCTGCCCACATGTAATCCCCTCTCCTTCAGTATGGGCTGGATTTAATGACTCCCTCCTAGTGAATGACAGAGGGAAGGGATGTTACAACTGAGATGAGTTTATTAAAAGATTGTGGCTTCTATCTTGGAGGCCCTGTTGCTCTCACTGTCTTTTGGATCACTTACCTGGGGAAGCCAGCTGCCATGTTGTGAGGCAGCCCTGTGAAAGGCTCGTGTGGCAAGGAAGGAAGGCCTCCGGGTCATCAGAGGTGCTGCACCAGAGATGCTCTTTCTTTTTCCTTTCTGGAGACGCACAGCCTGAGGGTCAAGTCATCTTCCTTTTAGCCACTACTGTAAAGAGCTGAGTACTGAAAGCCACAGCCCTAGGGACCCTTGGCCGAGCTCAGTTGAGTCGGAGAGCTCTTTCCATTCCTGACACAGCCATTGCCCAAGGGCCCCACCCAGAAGCCCTGGGTCAGGATTTATCCTTCTATCCCCCTTTAAGCACCAAGAACTGCCATCCCTTTCCCCTTTTTCAGATCTGCACCACAAGGGGTCAAATCATTTTCCTTTTCAGGAACCAAAGAATAAAGTGTCTCATTGTGTCGCCTCCCGGGTGAGCAGTAGGGTAACCGTGCACCTGCACATGGGGGACTGCTGTGATTTTTATCTTAGTTTGGCTCCCACAGAAAGCAGAGCCCATGACAAAGGTTTGTGTTTGAAGACTTATTGGGGCGTGTGGTGCCACGGAACAGGAGTAAGGGTCAGGGGGAGTGGAAAAGCAAAGGAGGGAGAGCCAGTATCAGTTGACCCTGCCATTGTTGATGGGTTCTTTGGTCCTTATGAAATGACCAGTCGTTCCGGGGGAAGAGGAGAAGCATATGTCCACTGAATGCCATCCCCCATGGGTTAGCTCTGCACTTCTCGGTTGCACATGTGCGGGCTCAGGATGCTGTGTCCTCAGAGGCAAGAGGCACATGGCATGGGTGTAATATGAGCGGCTGTAGGGTTGCACCTGCATAAAGCTAATCAGAGCCTGTGCAGAGCTGGGTCCCGTAGTGGGGGCTGGAGAGGAGAGAGGTGAGGCCAAGGGGATCTGAACTGGTACGTGAGAGGTGGCGGATATGATGACCTGAAAAGGGTCTTTCCCCACCCCACCCGAGCCAGGCCAGGCAGCTGACTACAGTGTCTCAAGGATGATCTACTGCAATGCAGTGACTTTCTGGCCCCTCTGTCAGAGCAGAGAAAAAAACCACAAGTGTCATTTTCAGCAAGCATCCTGCTACCATCATATAGTTATATGATGGACAGTTGCATGCATGGTTTATATAATACATTTTTATATAGTACATATATAGCTATTAATAATAATAATAGAACAGCAACAACAATACCAACTGAGTACTTACTACATGCGAATTACTAAGCACTTTATATAAATGAAGTGATTTATATATCTCTGACTATATTTATCTATATACATACAGAGATATAAACGATGGGTGTAGATATAGGTAGGTAGGTAGGTATGTCTCTGTATCTTTATGTAAAATTGTATGCATTCATGTATCTCTTGTTTCTAGTTTTGAAACTTGTATAAATTTCTGTCTAGTTGGTATAATTAATTATATACACACCAAAAAAAAAAGAAATCAGTAATTTGCAGTGCCTATGAGAGGTGATATAATTAGCTTTTACACCGTAAGGAAGTTGATCTGTGCTTTTCCATTCACCTTAAAAAGTAACGTGGTTTCCAATAGATCCCACAAAGCAAGGAGCGTCTCAGACATCGCCAGCTGCCTTAACAGGCGAGCGAAGGAGAGGAGGGAGCTGAAGAGCTGACTCCGGAATTGGCTTTCCTGTGTTTTCTATCTAGGATAACCTTGGACAAATTCCTGACGCAACAGAGGTCTTTAATCCAGGGAGAGCCGTGTCTTAACAATACTAGATTGGGATCTAGGATTCCATAATCTCATCACGAACATTTCGTTTATTTCTGAGAACGGGGAAATTCTGCAGATGACTCCTTCCATGCATTTTATATATATGGTTTTCCCCTTTAAGAGTTGTAATTTCTGCCTCTGTCACTCCGTTCTGGAAATCCATCTTATCTGAGTCCTGGCGGGATCCCTATGCACTAACTAGAACATTGACTTAGGTTACTGATTTAATAGTCTTCACTAGTTTGCCCCCAGTGACCCCCTAGTAACCAGCTTCTTCAGCAACTTCTTCATAGGCGAAGTTTAGAGTGACAGTATTGCTTACCACGGAGCAGTCATTTGAACATAAAATTAGCTGATTTTATCACAGGGACCAATTGTTGAGCTAATTAGTTGTGCCGGCAGTTCTGCTGATGAGCCAGAAACCCAGAGTGATTTTCCATGTAAACTGTGGTTTTCTGCAAAGTTGGCTGGGTTGTAGACACCAGGCTCACCAACAACCCAAGGAAGGGGAAAAACGGCTGAGGAAGGTCACTAATTTCTGTTCAGATTAGCGGAGACTGGAGAACCTTACAGCAGAGGATCAGAGTGAAGCTTAAACCTCATGCTGGGTCTGTTGACTTTGAAAGGGCTGGATTCTGCTCAAATTTTGACAGCTGCTTCATGTCTTTAGTGAGCTGAAGACTTTGCACAAAACGTGGGGTGGTTCTTGCCTTTGGACAAAGACTTCGTAATCTTTTCTTAACTGTGTTTTCATATTTTTTCCTCAGAGTTTCATGGTGGAATGATTTGCTTATGGTATTAAATGGAAGAGATAATCTGGTGTGTTATTAATTGTTTGCGGATTATCAACTGTAGACAGTTTACCTCCCAAGTGAACTTGTCATGACAGACATTTTCTAATATTGTAAACTGAATTGTAGCTTCCGGCAGAGGTGGGGGGTGCGCACCATGATTCTTACATCCCGAAAACGCAATTCTTCCTCATTTAGGAATTAAATCTTTTGATCACTGATAGATTATTGTTCTTGAAATTTGATAATTTAATAAATTTAAAGATTGTTCTCCTGGCCACATGACCTACCTCCTTCCCAACTCCTCAAAGCTTCATGGAGAGTGAGCACAACCTTTCCTCTGGATAACCTTTATGGGTGAATGTTAAACTACCCACTATGTGTCATATGTAAAATAATGTTTTAAAATCTGTCTCCATCAGTCTCTCAGGCTGTTTGTTTCTCCATCCATCCATCCATCCATCAAATCTTCAACATAGCTATAATCCCTAAGTATTTACCCTATTTTATCTTAAATTTCAGTTATCTAGCAATCTTTCATCTGTCATCTATACCCTATACAGTGTTATTTTAAAGAAAAGCACCCAAAGTGAAAGAGAAAAAATAGTATGCAATGACTGGATTATAATGAGCACTGTTTTAGAATTGCTTCAGCTTTTTTTTCTTTTTTTTAAAGATTGGTACCTGAGCTAACAATTGTTGCCAATCTTCTATTTTTTTTTTCTGCTTTTTCTCCCCAAATCCCCCCAGTACATAGTTGTATATTTTAGTTGTGGGTGCTTCTAGTTGTGAGATGTGGGACGCCACCTCAACGTGGTCTGATAAGTGGTGCCATGTCCACGCCTAGGATCCGAACCAGCGAAACTCTGGGCCACTGAAGCAGTGTGTGCAAACTTAACCACTCAGCCACTGGTCCAGCCCCTGCTTCAGCTTTGTTTAATTTTCTTCCTCAAATTTTGAAATCATTTTAGAATTTTGTTCAGCTTTGATTATT